CTGCAGAAGCAGGCGTACGACCGGACTGTGGACTGGTGGTGCCTTGGATCGGTGCTCTACGAGATGCTTTATGGACTCGTGAGTGTCTCCTTCTGTCCTCTTTCTGCTCTTTTTAATGAGCTCAGGTTGACGTTGCTCCTTTCTCCCCTCCAGCCTCCTTTCTATAGCCGAAACACAGCAGAGATGTACAACAACATCCTCCACAAGGCTCCGGTGCTGAAACCCAACATCTCTAACGCCGGCAGGGAGCTGCTGGAGGGGCTCCTGCAGAAGGAGCGCTCCAAGAGGCTGGGGGCCAAGGATGACTTTGTAAGTCTGTGCAAATTTGCCCCTCATGGCTGCCTCCCAGCAGCAGGCAGGGCCTCCCTCACCGTCTGTCTGTCTCCCTCTGCAGCTGGAGCTAAAGTACCACTGCTTCTTCTCCCCCATCAACTGGGACGACCTGATGGCCAAGAAGATCAGCCCTCCTTTCGTTCCCTCCGTGGTACGTTCAGAACCCACCTCACAGCTGCTTCCGCTGTCTGAACAGAACCAGAACCTTCTGGTTGGGTCCTGATAATCTGGGCTGGTTCTGACTCTATGGAGGGAATATCGTTCTGTTTCATTTGGAAATAACTTTCCGTTCATCCAAATTTGAAAGAAAAATGCAGTTCAGACATGAAGGTTTGGGAAATTAAATATTTAAAAAAGTATTTGAGAGAAAAATTGCTCCTTTGTTAGATGCGATTTTTCCTCTTTCAAAAAAATCTTTTCCTGATTTTATAATTTCAAAATGTTATTTATCCTTTTTTCAGATTTTATATTTAAAAGCAGATCTATTAAGCTGATTTTTTTCCCAAATATGTTGAGATTCAGTTTATTGAGTTGTTTTCTTTTCAAATTGCATTTTCCAGATCCTATTGTCTAACCTTCAGCCTATTCAAACTCCTGACCAATAAAAAAGCTTCTAACATCCAGTAGACCAATAGAAATGCATCTTGACTCCAGAGGAAGTCCCGCCCCCAATTATTATTTTTTTTTTCAAATTCCAAAAAGTTCACTCCATAGACTCCCAGCCTGTGGTCCAGAACCAGAGTTTAACTGGTTCTGACCGGGGTTCTGTTAGCTAGCTTTGGGTCCGCTCAGTGTTAGCAGTTAGCCGTGAGCGACCGGGTCCGTTTCAGGTTCTGATTCCTTGTCCTCTGTCCTGCAGTCCGGCCCCACTGACCTGCGGTACTTTGACCCAGAGTTCACCCACCTGCCGGTGTCGTCCTCCCTGTGCAGCGACACGGTGATGGTGACCAGCAGCATGAAGGAGGCGGCCGGGGCCTTCCCGGGCTTTTCCTACGGACCCCCAGCGGACCACTCCTTCATGTGACCGCTCTGTTCTGGGAGAGGACTGGAAGTGGTTCTGGTTCTGACTGAGAGGACTGGAAGTGGTTCTGGTTCTGACTGAGAGGACTGGAAGTGGTTCTGACTCATAAGCAGATGAGATGGAAGGACTCATGTCGCAGCACTGCCGGCCCAACCACCATAAACATGTGCCATGTGTGGGAACGGGTCAGAATCCAAACCTCTGCGGACCGGTTCTGGAGCTGCTGGTGATGTGCCTGGTGTTGGATAGTGAGAGCGTTGGAAAGCGTCCGCATGAAACCAGCCTCAGTGGTTTGGATCTCAGAGGTGATGCCTTGGTTCTGTTCACCAGGATCCGGTTCATGTTTTCACCATGAAGCTGAAACGCATTCCAGGAAGGAAGGTGAAGAAGAACCCAAGCAGCTTTACATCAGAACAGTCCAAATATCTCCAGAAAGTTCTAACAGAACTAAACCTTCTGGGACCAAACAGAACAATCTGATCCGTTTGTTCTGGACCTCACAGCTTCTCTCTACCATTTATTATCTGTAACAACTTCTGTTTACTTTGAGGAACGTCCTGCTATGATCTGAAGCATCTCGCAGCTCCTTCATCTGTTCGCATTGATGGAGAATCAGCAGTAGGTGACTGGGAGTCTGATTGATCATAGGACTCCTCTGATTGGTCGCAGGGCTCCTCTGATTGGTCGTAGGGCTCCTCTGATTGGTCGCAGGGCTCCTCTGATTGGTCGTAGGGCTCCTCTGATTGGTCGTAGGGCTCCTCTGATTGGTCATAGGACTCCTCTGATTGGCCGCAGGACTCCTCTGATTGGTCATAGGACTCCTCTGATTGGTCGTAGGACTCCTGAAGGACTCCTCTGATTGATCATAGGACTCCTCTGATTGGTCGCAGGGCTCCTCTGATTGGTCATAGGACTCCTCTGATTGGTCATAGGACTCCTCTGATTGGTCGCAGGGCTCCTCTGATTGGTCATAGGACTCCTCTGATTGGCCGCAGGACTCCTCTGATTGGTCATAGGACTCCTCTGATTGGTCGCAGGACTCCTCTGATTGGTCGCAGGACTCCTCTGATTATTCGTAGGACTCCTCTGATTGGTCGTAGGACTCCTCTGATTGGTCGTAGGACTCCTCTGATTGGTCGCAGGACTCCTCTGATTGGTCGTAGGACTCCTCTGATTGGTCGTAGGACTCCTCTGATTGGTCGTAGGACTCCTGAAGGACTCCTCTGATTGGTCGTAGCGCTCCTCTGAAGGACTCCTCTGATTGGTCGTAGGACTCCTGAAGGACTCCTCTGATTGGTCGTAGCGCTCCTCTGAAGGACTCCTCTGATTGGTCATAGGACTCCTCTGATTGGCCGCAGGACTCCTCTGATTGGTCGTAGGACTCCTGAAGGACTCCTCTGATTGGTCGTAGCGCTCCTCTGAAGGACTCCTCTGATTGGTCACTGATACCGTACTGTATATCCATTCTACTGTTTCAACTGTTTGTTGTTTTCTTGCAAACAGCAGAGAATCTTTAAACATTGTTGTATTTATTCACGTAGAGCAGAGCTGTAAACGTCTCGTGCCTGATCCGTGTTCCAGACATATCTCCGTTCACCAAGAAGTGGTTGCCCCCCCCCTTTTTTTTTCATTTTACGTTGAAGTGCTTCATTAAGTTGGATCCGAGCCGCTGGGCGGAGCAGGTGCTGCCTCTGTGGGGTCCAGCATTCCCGCCCGACCCGGTTATGGAAAGTGCAATAAATGTTCCCACATATCTTCTGATCACACGTGTGAAAGATTGTTTCTGATTAAATTGGAGAACGTCGTCACTCGGTGAGGAACTGTTCATGAAATGAAAAGAGACACGCAGTTCTGGATCAAGTTCTTCCATATTTGGAAGTTTTGTTTATTCTGTATTTATGTTCCTGCAACATGTAAAACAGATCATTTACATGATGAGATGAGATCTGTGTCAGAAATATTAATAAAACTTTTAAAACTCAATCTGAGCTGGTTGTTGTGTTTCCAGGAGAAACTTTCTCCTCATTTCACGTGGAACAAACAGGAACACGGTGACCTCCAGGTTTATTATCATCTACCAACTGAAAGTCTATCGCTATGTTTGCGTTTCCTTAAACTTCTATAATTGCTAAGGAGCGTAGAATATATCTGCATCTAGCAGCCTGTAGAACCTCTATTTGTTTAGAGCTGCTTTTAGGCATTACTAGTTGGAGTTCCAACTGGTTTATTTGTCTTTAGACTGCAAAAAACGATCTAGAAATAAGTATGGATTTCTTAAATTAAGTGCATTTATCCTTACTTTTTTACTCTGAAAATAAGATAATTAGATAATATTGCACTTAAAATAAAACATCTAATAAATCTAAATTGTTTCGTTCCATTGGCAAAATGTCTCTTTTACCTCCTCAATTCAAGAACAAATGCACTCACAGTCTCACAGTCATGTTTTTGGACTGTGAGAGGAAGTCGGAGTACCCGGAGAGAACCCACGGATGCGCAGAGAGAACATGTTAACTCCATGCAGAAAGACCCTGGGCCAGGAATCGAACCCACAACCTTCTGGCTGCAAGGCAGCCCTAACATCAAGTGTATTTAGCATTAATTTTAGTAAGCTAATTAGATGATTAGTGAGTATTTTTACTCTTAAAATAAGATAATTAGATCATATGTATTTGTAATGGGGCAAAGCAGTTACTTTTTCTTATTTTAAATGTAGTGTCTCACTCACCTCATATTCAAGAAAAACACTTATTTAAGAAAAAAATAACTTATTTAGATTTCAATTTTTTGCAGTGTCCTACCTGCCTTTATCGTGTTTTTATTCTGTTTTTATCTTTACTTCTATTTTATTGTTTAATTCATGGAAATCCCTTTGATGGTTCCATAAAAATGGTAAAAATAAACCTGCCTTGCGTTGAACCTGCTGACTAAGGAGATGGAGCTTCTGTGGTTGTTCTCTCAGCTTCACCGCCATCTGTCCCCTGACATCATGGGACGTCCATCCCTGTGCAGACCTGCAGCTGCTGAGATCTTCTCCTCCTGGGAATCATCTCTGCAGTACATACTGTATATACAGCGCCTGCTTGTTTATTCTTAATGCACCTTTTCCTCCTTGTTTGCACCTTCTTTAATTACTTTCCCAATATTTTTGTGATTTTTATTTCTGTGATGTTTTAGTGTGTAATTTGTTCTGTTGTTTCCTGTGTACAGTCACTGTGTTTTGTTTAAAAGCCTAACTGGGGACAGGCACTGAGAATTAGCCTTAGCTAAAATGTTGTAGTGTGTGACATAATTCATGAAACATACTTGTCCCTATCAAATAAACGAATTAATAAATATGTGACCTGGGAATTTCTCCGCTGTGAGATCAACAAAGCTAATCTAATCTAATCTAAGATGGGCTTGAGATTAAGGCTGTAGTGACAGCATGTCTGGGTCCTCTAGAAAGGCTAACTCAGCAGCAGTGACGTCATTCCGTGTGTCGGCTGATGGAGAATCAACAGCAGTGACGTCATTCCGTGTGTCTGCTGATGGAGCATCCAGTGATGGTTTAGTTTATCCCGGTTTTCCTTCCTGGATTGATGAGCAGCAGCAGTTGCTCCCCCCTCCCCCTCCTGTTTCCTCTCACCTGTCATCTCTCCTCGCGCCTGCGGGCCGCTATAAACCAGCCTTCTGCGCATGCGCAGGGATCCTTGCGGAGCAGCTTCCTGCCAGATAGTGCTCCTTAACAACAGACAAAGCTTTCCTGCGGATTCCCGGGAATAGTTTGGATAAAGGCTCCTGGACCCCCCTCCTTTCCATGGTAAGGCCGGACTAAGGGCTGCCCCTCCCGGGCTGGGTGCTGTCTGGAGGCCGTGGGAGGGGGGGCTGCTTCTCTGGGGCAGAGAGTTTAACACGATGCCTGCTGGGTCCGTCTAATGTCTGGATTGGAAAACTTTCCCAGCCTGGTTGCGCTTCGATCAGCCCGATGTTCCGCTCATTCCCCCCGAAATAACGAACCCAGACATCAGCAGCTAGCGGCGCTGTCTAATGCCTGGGTGGGAGTTAGCTTCTGTTGCTAACGGGGGAACTTAGCGTCCCTGTTGTTGGGTGCAGACTAACTCCTGGTGCGGACAGCTGTGCGACTTTAAATTAGGTTTTCTGCTCTAATTCTGTCTGCATGTTTAATATTTTCATTGAAGATCAAATTAGCGTCCGTCTCCCAGGAATTATCCGCGTCCATTGCTTCATCATCGCAGCACTAACCGGGGCCGGTGGGGTCTATGTGCTGGAATCGGCTGTCCATCAGAAGCAGGATGTTTACCTGTGGCCAGGTGTGCAGAGCCGGTTGCGGAGCGGAAGCTTTATTCCCGCCTTCCATCGCTGGTCTGGAGGAGGTTCCCAGGAGGTGCCCGGGTCCATCCTGCAGCTCTGCTGCAACACCTGGGGCCCATGGAGGGTTTGCATGAGGCTGATGGAGCAGAACCACCATGTTCTACCAAACACCCCCTGGTCTCTTTCCACTTCCACCCAGACTAGTGGATTAATTCCCCCCCTAAATCACTCCTTTGTTATAATCGGACAGACTGGGACAGGTGTTCCATCTAACCGCTGCCGAATCTTTTGGGGGCCGTTTATTAATTCTATTCACTTTATTTCTATAGCTCCAATTCACATCATGTCATCTCAGGTCACATTATAGACCCAGATCATCCAGTCAGATTGATTCAAAGTTTTCTATCTAAGGAAAACCAGCTGATTGCATCGACTCATTGACTCTTCAGCAATCCCTCACACTAAGCATGCTTGTAGCGACAGTGGAGAGGAAAAACTCCCTTTGAACAGGAAGAAACCTCCAGCAGAACCAGGCTCAGTGTGAGCGGCCATCTGCTGAGGCCCACTGGGGTTCAAGGAGACAGAAGCAGACATAGAAAAAGAAGCATAGATACAAAAGGCAACTGTCAACCAGCTCCACAGGCGGCCCCGTCCAGGAAACACACAGCCAGGCAGACGAGCTCCGAGCCAGCTCCCATGTCAGAGGATGAAGAGAGCACATCCAGTTAGTCACAGTCAGAGAAACAGGACTACACTGGAAAACAGGCCAAGCTCCAACATCTAGAAACAAAGGTGTTGATGGCAGCAGCACAGCTGATATTTCTCTCCAGGATGGAGTCACAGCCAAACAGGAACAGACCAGATGAAGCTACTATGAGAAAAAGCAGAGAGAGCAGAACGTTAGAGATTATTATTAAAAGCCAATATTTATTTTTCTTATGTTTACATGATGAAAATGAACCAAATAGAAAAAATAAATGTCAAACTAGCATCAAATTAAACAAAGAGAAACATTTATTGACAAATCAAATTAAACTAGGATGGAGATTCATGTTGGTGCACCAATGAACACGTTGCTGTGAAAATGAGGATATTGGTGCAAAATATCACGTTGGCTGATGGTTCGACTGTCTTCTAAAGTTAATTCACCGTTTTAATTTAGAAGCTGGAGATCATTTATCTGGGATTAACCCTTTATAGGGCGCTCAGTGCAGTACTTTGAAAATCCACATTTCCAGCCAATAGTGTTGGAACCCAGGACCTTATTACCTTTGGAACGTTCAGAAATATCATCAGGGTTTCCACGGGTCATTAAATCATTCAATTGGCATTAAAATTCATTAGATGTGATTATAGGGGCATTTAAAATGATTTATTTACAAAAAAGAAAAACTTATAAAAACAATTTGGTCAGATATATCGGACTATATTTGCGAGGAACTGTTTCCGATTGATCGTAAAGCCGTATGTTCGGAAAAGAAGCTGGAGGCGGAGAGGAAGCTAGAGAACGGAGAAATTATAACAAAAGTTGCTGAAAAACGAGGAGTTCTGGACACGGCTGCAGCCTGTCGACGGGATTTACTGATGGCAGTAAAATGATTTCTAAGAGCATTAAATTAGAGTTACTCATTCCTGTATAAACCCTGAATATGGATAGTTTGATGGTATAAATTAATGTCAATGTTATAACAAGAAACACCAACTTTCCCGAAATTATTAAGAAAAATCACTAAAGTGCTTCTAGAAGAAATTCATGGAAAACACTCAGAGGGAAAGAAAAACATTATCCTGGTCCAACTTAACTTAGAGGCATTAATGCTGATACTGGAATATACATGTTTTAGTTTATAAACCTAAATATAATTGTTAACAAGGCTTATTAACTTTTTTCTGGACTTGTTTACCCTTTTTTTCAATTTCATTTACAGTAGGTAATAAATTATTCAAGTATGGAGGGGGATTAGGGCCGCTGGAAAATAAAAAAGTTAAGTTTCAGTTTATTCTGGGATTAAAGTCAGAATTCTGAATATTCTCTTAATTCTGACTTTTTCTCTCAGAATTCTGACTTTAATCTCTGAATTCTGACTTTTTAATCTCAGAATTCTGACTTTAATCCCTGAATTGTGGATCTTAATGTAGATGGTCGCCATGAAGGCAGAGATGTGCAGCGCTCAGCTTCAGTTCTTTGGGAGAAACAGGAACACATTGGTGGAAAATGATGGAATTAGGAGACTTTTTCCGTCCCTGAGGTTCCCTGCTGATGCTGTTTGATTAATGGAAGAGAAGAAGGAGATTAAAACAAGAGAGATAGACTCTAAAACAGACATGGCTACGGCTGGATGCTAACATGTTTGTTAGCTGACAGATTAAAGTCAGAATCCTGAGTTAAAGGGAAACTCTGTTTTTTTTCCATTGGATCCTTGATTTTCCATTATTCCATCATGTTCTAATCAGTCATATGACTTTAGTGTCATTTGGAGCCGTTCTGAAGATATTCTGAACAGTTTAGTTTGTGCCTTCAAGTCGTTGCCCATAGGAAGACGTTACTGGATATAACCTAACGGAATATCTTCAGAACGGCTCCAAATGACACTAAACTCATATGGGTGAGTAGAACATGATGGAATAACGGAAAATCAAGGGACCAATGGGAAAAAAAAAAAAACGAAAACGGTATTCTCCTTTAAAATTTAGAATTCGGACTTTTTTCCCATATTAAACTGAAATAATATTTAAAAATTAGTAAACATTTTTTTTCAGTGGCCCTCATCCTCTTCTGTATCCAAAGGCTCATCTGATTGGTTAAATGCCAAAATAAGACGTTCAGCCATGCAGCAGGATCTGAATAGCTGAATATAGATCTAGTGCTTCTAGACCTGACTGAGGGATGCAGGTGATCTTTGGCTACGTTCAAACAGCAGCCTGAAATGACCTAAAATCTGTTTTTATTTTTTCCATATGCGACCTGGATCTGATCTTTTCAGGCAGTCTGAACAACAGATCTGATTTTTTTCCAATGCGATCCAGGCCCCTTGGCTCTATGGTCCTGAATCCGATACGAATCCGATCTTTTCAAATGCGACCTGCGTCTGAACGGCCAGGTCATCCGACCTGAACGCCATTAATACAAAGGTCACTATTCTGGGTCTTGCTATGAAGAAGCAGCATCAAAGTCACTAACCATGGCGGACGATGATGCAGAGAGCAGCATTTATGTTTAACCATATTGAAAAGTTTGAGTTTTTATGGTTGGAAAAGATCGCTAGATGCGCGACGGTGCTACCGTCCATGTTTACGTCCATCACAGGCCATAAACATGGAGCCTCTTCAAGATGCTGTGAGGGCTGCCACCCCCACAGCATCGTCATCATCGTCCTCTTCCTCCCCTGAGCCAGGAGAAGCGAGCGCTGCAGGAGCTGGAGGCAGCAGCTCAACAACTACTGCTGCTGACCTCATCAAGGCTGCACTTTAAAAAATGAAATGTTCTAAACCAAATTTCTTTTTGTTTACACTTGTGTAAAAAATGACAAAATAAATCTAGATCTAAAGTCTAAGTTTAAAACATGACAGACGGCCCTAAGAAGACTGTAGAGAAGCAGCTGCAAGTGTCTGCTAACGAGGATGATAGAATTATCTTTAGATTTAGCGCTTTTATCTGTTTTTAGACACTTTTTTTTGCATAAATCATCTTCTGCAGAAGAACGGAGCCGGCGGTCTCCTCCTGCAGCGCTGAGCGGCACCAGTAGAACCAGAGGGCGGGACGTTTTTGGCTGTTTTAATGATAAATCTCCTCCATCAGGTTGATTTAGTGAACCTGTTGCTTCGGCCTCTAAAACTGGAGTTCTTAGAGTTGATTTTAGGTTCGTTTATCATCTCTGGCCTCGTTTCTCTTCAAATGTCTTACTTCTTTTTTTGGTTCACTTGTATAAAATCTTGCATAAGCTGTTTTATTGCGCCTGAGTGGCGTGAACGGGTTCACGTGTCACGTTTGTGTCTCAGAGCGCGCTCGGCGGGGAGCGGCCCGACACATCCGTGTGGTTTTAAATTAGCCGTCTGACCCACTTTCTGCGCCCGCTCTGCGTTATGTCAGTTAGATAAACGCTGCATCTCTCCAGCTGTGGCCGCTGGACGAAGCGAGGGAAGATCTTATCCCCCCCCCGAAGCATCTATTGATACGGCCGCTCGCACCCGAGCGCATAATGCTTTGGAGGAGATGTTTTCCCTGAATGTAGGTTAGGCCTCATGTAAGGCGGCCCGCAGCCCTAATCCACAGATAAAGGCAGTGATGGAGACAATGGGCCGCCTCAGGCCCACACCTGCCTCACCTGCAGGTCTTGTGCCGGGGATTAGACCAAGGTGCCCCACTTCCTCCGTCCCCCCCTCCCCGCGCATGCACCCACACTACGAAGGAATGGGGGGGTGGGAGAGTATTTATGTGGCAGAGGAGGGAGAGGAGCCAGAAAGCTGTTGCTCACCGCGCTGCTGTTTGTGTGAAGCAGGGTCCTGCCAGGCGCTGCGACTGAGCGTGGAGAGGTGCCGGCTCGCCCCGCCGCGGACATGGACGAGTCGCAGGAGCTGCCGGTGAGTCGCACACGCCTCTCAGCTTCTGTTCACACCGAACGGGGGGCGCCTTCAAAATAAAGTCCGACTCCAGAGTTAAATATGAGGCTTTGCTTCTGTTTTCATTTCTGACTAAATGAGTTTCTCTGATCTCCAAACTGCTGAAGAGTTTCTGTTCATCTTCAGACGCAGCAGGAGGCAGGAAGTCCAAACGTTCCTTCATCTGTTCGCTGCTTTTCTCTGCAGACAGAATCAGGCTTTTTACCGACTTCACTTTGATTAAACATTAAAACTGCAAAGATTAAGAAAATTTTCAAGCATTTAGAGCAAAGAAACGACTGCAGGAGATCCTAGAAACCAGAAGGTTTTGTTTTTGGCTGACGGCTTCGGTTGAGGATCAGATGTGTTTGTTTGCAGGCGAAGAAGGCAAAGATGGCCGCAGACGGCGATCAGCAGACCGAGCAGAGGTCCGTTCTGTTGATTACATCTCATTTCCTCATCAGTTGTTCCTGCATCCATGAAACGGATCCTGTTTTCTCTTCTCAGTCGTCTAAACGCTGACCGGACTCCAGCAGCTGTTCTGGCTTCATCAGAGGAGGACGCCTCCTACCCGCCTCTGTCTATAACCCGCCTCGAAGCAGGTGAGCAGAACCAGAACCTCCGGTCATTGTTTAGGTTTCTCTCTTTGGTCTGGGTCTAGCTCTGATCAGGTTTTAACTGGAGCAGAAGAAGACGTTCTCTCTCTGAGGAAGTTCCTCCATCAGAGGCCGGAGCTGAGAGGAGCTCGCTGGTTTCTGGTTGACCTTCAGGTGTTTGTGTCTCCAGCTGCAGGTGAGCAGAAGCAGCCAGGCAGCGACGGAGGAGAAGCGACCCAACCCATCGGCGACACGGTGAACTCCTACCAACATGCAGGTACGAACGGCGTTTTCAGCAGAACCTCAGATCAGGAACTAGTCGTAAAACCAGAACCTGCTCTGTGTTCCAGAGTCCGACTCGGCCCAGTCCGACTACAGCCAGCAGGTCTACCAGGAGGCCAAGTGAGTATGAACCATCAGTGACATCATCCACCTTCAGCAGCTCAGTGCTGCCCTCTACTGGTGTTACTGTTTAAAATTAACATAATCAGGAGTAAAAAAAAAATGTTTTTACGCAGAACGCAGAACTTCAGGTTCTCAGTATTTCAGGCTCTTTGCCCTAACCTAACCAGGTCAGAGGTCACCAATCCAAACTGTTCAAAGAGCCATATTGGACCAAATAAACAGAAAATAAATCTGTCTGCAGCTGCAAAAATATAAAAGTCTTCTATCAGCCTCTGATGGCAACACGGCTCTCTAAGTGTTTTATTTCCGTAAAAGTTAAAAAAAATCCACTGGACTTGGTTTCCAACATTTGAAGACGTTTTTCCACCTCTCCAGGAAGCTTTCTCAATTCAAACCAATCCAAACTGAGCTTTGGGACCAGGTTTAAAAAAATCAGTCTTAGTCTCAGCCTGTAGAACCGTGTTTTATTTTTCTGATGGTGAACATTTAGACTCTCAATCCGTTCTGCAGCTTTTAGAAACGATTTACTTGTTGGTTCTGGTGACCAAATCCGTGTCTTAAATCTGTCCCTTTATTCTAGATTATTCTTCTCCAGATTAAAGGATTTGTTCAAACTCTGGCTCAGGGTTGCCCCCTGGTGGAGGAATGAGTTATTGGAAATTTAGCTTTTTTAAATTTTACCTCAACTTTGGTGCTAATATGAGGATGCAAACGTAGTGTCTCTAGTCCCATCGTGTCTAGTCTCATCACCACTACTCCCATAGTCTTTAGTCCCATCGTGTCTAGTCCCATAGTCTCTACTCCCATAGTCTCTAGTCCCATAGTCTCTAGTCCCATAGTCTCTAGTCCCATCGTGTCTAGTCCCATAGTCTCTACTCCCATAGTCTCTAGTCCCATAGTCTCTAGTCCCATAGTCTCTAGTCCCATCGTGTCTAGTCCCATAGTCTCTAGTCCCATCACCACTACTCCCATAGTCTCTAGTCCCATCGTGTCTAGTCCCATAGTCTCTAGTCCCATCGTGTCTAGTCTCATCACCACTACTCCCATAGTCTCTAGTCCCATAGTCTCTAGTCCCATAGTCTCTAGTCCCATCGTGTCTAGTCCCATAGTCTCTAGTCCCATCGTGTCTAGTCCCATAGTCTCTAGTCCCATCGTGTCTAGTCCCATAGTCTCTAGTCCCATCACCACTACTCCCATAGTCTCTAGTCCCATCGTGTCTAGTCCCATAGTCTCTAGTCCCATCGTGTCTAGTCTCATCACCACTACTCCCATTGACCTTATTCCCATAGTCTCTAGTCCCATAGTCTCTAGTCCCATCGTGTCTAGTCTCATCACCACTACTCCCATTGACCTTATTCCCATAGTCTCTAGTCCCATAGTCTCTAGTCCCATCGTGTCTAGTCTCATCACCACTACTCCCATAGTCTCTAGTCCCATCGTGTCTAGTCTTATCACCACTACTCCCATCGTGTCTAGTCCCATCGTGTCTAGTCCCATCGTGTCTAGTCCCATCGTGTCTAGTCCCATAGTCTCTAGTCCCATCGTGTCTAGTCTCATCACCACTACTCCCATAGTCTCTAGTCCCGTCATGTCTAGTCTCATCACCACTACTCCCATAGTCTCTAGTCCCATCGTGTCTAGTCTAATCACCACTACTCCCATAGTCTCTAGTCCCATAGTCTCTAGTCCCATCGTGTCTAGTCTCATCACCACTACTCCCATAGTCTCTAGTCCCATCGTGTCTAGTCTTATCACCACTACTCCCATCGTGTCTAGTCCCATCGTGTCTAGTCCCATCGTGTCTAGTCCCATCGTGTCTAGTCCCATAGTCTCTAGTCCCATAGTCTCTAGTCCCATCGTGTCTAGTCTCATCACCACTACTCCCATAGTCTCTAGTCCCGTCATGTCTAGTCTCATCACCACTACTCCCATAGTCTCTAGTCCCATCGTGTCTAGTCTAATCACCACTACTCCCATAGTCTCTAGTCCCATAGTCTCTAGTCCCATCGTGTCTAGTCTCATCACCACTACTCCCATAGTCTCTAGTCCCATAGTCTCTAGTCCAATCACCACTACTCCCATAGTCTCTAGTCCCATAGTCTCTAGTCCCATCGTGTCTAGTCTCATCACCACTACTCCCATAGTCTCTAGTCCCATCGTGTCTAGTCTTATCACCACTACTCCCATAGTCTCTAGTCCCATAGTCTCTAGTCCCATCGTGTCTAGTCTCATCACCACTACTCCCATAGTCTCTAGTCCCGTCATGTCTAGTCTCATCACCACTACTCCCATAGTCTCTAGTCCCATCGTGTCTAGTCTAATCACCACTACTCCCATAGTCTCTAGTCCCATAGTCTCTAGTCCCATCGTGTCTAGTCTCATCACCACTACTCCCATAGTCTCTAGTCCCATCGTGTCTAGTCTTATCACCACTACTCCCATCGTGTCTAGTCCCATCGTGTCTAGTCCCATCGTGTCTAGTCCCATCGTGTCTAGTCCCATCGTGTCTAGTCCCATAGTCTCTAGTCCCATAGTCTCTAGTCCCATCGTGTCTAGTCTCATCACCACTACTCCCATAGTCTCTAGTCCCGTCATGTCTAGTCTCATCACCACTACTCCCATAGTCTCTAGTCCCATCGTGTCTAGTCTAATCACCACTACTCCCATAGTCTCTAGTCCCATAGTCTCTAGTCCCATCGTGTCTAGTCTCATCACCACTACTCCCATAGTCTCTAGTCCCATCGTGTCTACTTCCATCACCACTACTCCCATAGTCTCTAGTCCCATCGTGTCTAGTCTCATCACCACTACTCCCATAGTCTCTAGTCCCATCGTGTCTACTTCCATCACCACTACTCCCATAGTCTCTAGTCCCATCGTGTCTACTTCCATCACCACTACTCCCATAGTCTCTAGTCCCATCGTGTCTAGTCTCATCACCACTACTCCCATAGTCTCTAGTCCCATCGTGTCTACTTCCATCACCACTACTCCCATAGTCTCTAGTCCCATCGTGTCTAGTCTCATCACCACTACTCCCATAGTCTCTAGTCCCATCGTGTCTAGTCTCATCACCACTACTCCCATAGTCTCTAGTCCCATCGTGTCTAGTCTTATCACCACTACTCCCATAGTCTCTAGTCCCATCGTGTCTACTTCCATCACCACTACTCCCATAGTCTCTAGTCCCATCGTGTCTAGTCCCATCGTGTCTAGTCCCATCGTGTCTACTCCCATAGTCTCTAGTCCCATCGTGTCTAGTCCCATCGTGTCTACTTCCATCACCACTACTCCCATAGTCTCTAGTCCCATCGTGTCTAGTCCCATAGTCTCTAGTCCCATAGTCTCTAGTCCCATAGTCTCTAGTCCCATAGTCTCTAGTCCCATCGTGTCTAGTCCCATAGTCTCTAGTCCCATAGTCTCTAGTCCCATAGTCTCTAGTCCCATAGTCTCTAGTCCCATAGTCTCTAGTCCCATAGTCTCTAGTCCCATCGTCTCTGGTCCCATAGTCTCTAGTCCCATCCTCCCTAGTCTCATTGTTTCTAGTCTCATCTTCTCTGTTCTCTAGTCCCAAACTGAAGGTTGACGTTCTGCAGGCGTGTGGGATTCTCATGATCAGGATGAAAATGATTAATTAAAGCTCATCCAATGATCATGCTTAGGGCTGTAACTGTGATCCTTGTTTCCATGACGACGGCCATATTTAACTCTTCTTCCTCTTCCAGCCCTGCAGTGACGACCTTCACCAGCCAGGTGGCGTTCCCTGCTCTGGCCCAGTCCACGGTGTACTCGTCCTTCCCGCAGACCGGACAGACCTACGGCCTTCCTCCCTTCGGTTAGTCCCGCCCCCCCCTCCCAGCGCCGCGTCTTTTGCTTCGCTCTGCTTTCACCTGCAGCCTGTTAACTTTCCACTCCTCCTCCTCTGGTCCTCTGATTTCCTGCTTCCTCAGGTGCTCTGTGGCCCGGTATAAAAACTGAGACAGGGCTGCCTGAGGCGCCCTCCGGTGGCCAGCCGGGGTTCCTAAGCTTCAGCACGGCATACACCTCCACCCAGTCAGGCCAGCTGCACTACTCTTACCCGAGCCAAGGCAAGCTGCACCCCCCCCACCCCGCCTGGACTCGGCCCGGCAGCCGGTTTAATCTGCTCTCTGATCTTGTCTGCAGGGTCCAGCTTCACCACGTCCAGCGTTTACTCCAACATCCCGCCTGCTACGGCCGTCAGCACCGCCTCTGCAACCGCTGGACAGCAGGTGAGGAGGAGAGACGCCCGCACTAGAACCCGGTCTGGGTTTCTGGTTCCCAGACCAGAACCAGATGGAGCCTGTTGGTGGCGCTGTAAGCTTTTAGATCGTCCCAGTAAACCCAGCATCAACAGTGGGTCATGACAGAAATGCAATGAGGAAAATAAGCATTTTAACTTCCTGCTATTTTGGAAGTTCTCCCACTTTGAAATCATGAAGGATCTCAGATTGAAATAATCTAAAAATCACAAAATATAGTTTTAACTATTTATTTATATGATTCAGTTGGAAATAATAATTTGAACACCTAAGAAAATAAATTTAAATATTTGGTACATTAGCCTTTGTTTAAAAAAGGGTCAAAAGATTCCTGTAGTTTTTTATCAGATTTGCACACCGTAGAAGGGAGTGGGGCGCGGGTGGCCCCAGATGGGCGAGGGCGGCCCCGGATGGGCGAGGGCGGGCCCCCCCCTGATGGGCGAGGGCGGCGACGGATGAGCGAGGGCGGCCCCAGATGGGCGAGGGATGGGCGCGGGCGCTGCGGTTCAGTTGATAGAATAAAAACCAAAGGATAACGGCGGCCTTCTGATTCATTGATCTACCAGTTACTAACTGGTTAAACTGGAAGGAGCGGTTTTGCTCCCTAACCGGGTCCAACAGACCCAGATCATCTTCTCTATTATTTCAGGGATCACTGACCCAGGTGGTCTCCTAAGAACCTGGCCTTAGACCTGCTGGTCCCGCCTGTTCGCCCCTCATTGTTCTCATGTTTCCTTTCAGGACTTCAGCAGCTACAGCTCTCTGGGACAGGCCCAGTTCTCCCAGTACTACCAACTACCTACCAGTTACACTCCTGCTGGGCTGACCAGCGCAGACGAGCACGGAACCGGAGCCGGCGTGGGCGGATTCTCAGCGGTGAAGTCTGAGGAGGCCGCCTCGGCCGGACTTCCTCCTCGAGGTTTTTATCCTTCATCAATGTTCTGCTGCTGTTTGATCCAAACGGGTAAAACATTCCAGGCTGGTTCTGGTTCTGGTTCTGCTGACTAGAGGGTCGGCTTCTGTTGTCATCTAGAAGACAGGAAGTCCTCAGCGGTTGTCTCTGACCTGGACCTGAAGGAACCATCTGGCAACTTCCTGGTTCTCTTCTTCTCTGGTTCCTTAAAGCTGTCCACTCTGGCAGACTGGGAACCAGTTTTAGCTCCATTAGCATCGCTACCCTAGAAATCTGCAAACAGAGTGGCCATCCAGGGAGGTGGAGACCTGTTAGACCATTGGTGCCATCATCCTGGGGTTCTGGTTCTAATGGACCCGATACCAGAGCGCCAACAGCTGGGTAGAACCAGTCTGGACACCACAGAAGAAGAAAACAGGAACTCAGCTCAGCTGGACGTTCTACTGAGGGTTCGATGGTGGAGAACCATAAATGGAGGAGATTCCAGGCGATTCCAGGTCATTCCAGGTCTCTCCAGGTCTCTCCTTGTCATTCCAGGTCTCTCCAGGTCTCTCCTTGTCATTCCAGGTCTCTCCAGGTCTCTCCTTGTCATTCCAGGTCTCTCCAGGTGATTCCAGGTCTCTCCAGGTGATCAGTGGTCCCTTTTCAGAGAGTAGAAGGTTTAACAGAATGTATTTCAGTCAGAAAGCTTCAGGGTTCCAGTCGGGTCGAGTTACATTTATCTTTATGGAAACCAGAACCAGAGGTGGTTCTGACCCACAGGAACCAGAACCGGTCCTGTTCTGAGGAAACCAGTCAGTAATTCTGGTGTCGTCGCTGTTCATCAGACTGACCCGGCTGCCTCTCTGTTCTGATCCAGATGCGTCTCCACCAGAGAACCTTCCTGCAGCGGCGGCTCTGCCCACAGGGGGCGCCAGAGACCAGGAGGACGTTGCTCCGAGGAATTCGGTGGGAAAGTCTAAAGCCAAGGCCAAGAAGTCGGAGAACTCGGCGCCAGCCGGCGGTGACCTGGAGGTAAGCGGCTCCTAACCCCTGCAGAGGGAGACGGACCCGGTCAGAACCTCACGGTCCAATTCTGCTGCTTTCAGCGGATCTTCCTGTGGGATCTGGACGAGACCATCATCATCTTCCACTCGCTGCTCACCGGAACCTACGCTCAGAAGTTTGGCAAGGTTAGGCTCTGCGCCGAGACCCTAGTCTAGAACCAGGACGGTACCACGTGGTTCTGGTTCTGTACTGTGTTTGTCCAGGACCCGGCGACCATGCTGAACCTGGGTCTGCAGATGGAGGAGCTGATCTTCGAGCTGGCGGACACTCATCTGTTCTTCAACGACCTGGAGGAATGCGATCAGGTCCATATCGAGGACGTGGCGTCTGACGACAACGGACAAGACCTGAGGTGAGTCCGTCACACGCCCAGAACCTCCTCGCCGTCGGCCGGGTTTGACTGTTTTCTCCTTCATCTCAGCAACTACAACTTCTTGGCGGACGGCTTCAGCGGTTCCGGTGGCGCCGGGGGAGCGGCCGGCGGCGCCGCCGGGGTCCAGGGCGGGGTGGAATGGATGCGGAAACTGGCCTTCCGCTACCGCCGGCTAAAAGAGATCTACAGCAGCTTCAAAGGGAACGTTGGGGGTGAGTTAGGATCACAGGAACCTTCAGAACCGAGACAGGAGACCCGTTGGACCAGCGGTGTTCTGGTGTTCTTTAGGTCTGCTGAATCCGGGGAAGAGAGACCTTCTCCTTCGGCTTCAGTCCGACATCGAGAACGTCACGGACTCGTGGCTCACCACGGCGCTGAAGTCTCTGCTGCTCATTCAGTCCAGGTCCGACCCAGACGGCTGCCCATGGTTCTGGTTCTGTTCTGGCTCGTGTTTAACCCGTCTGTGTGTGTGACAGAGGGAAGTGCGTGAACGTGTTGGTCACCACCACTCAGCTGGTCCCGGCGCTGGCCAAAGTTTTGCTGTACGGCCTGGGAGACGTCTTCCCCGTGGAGAACATCTACAGCGCCACAAAGATCGGTGCGTATGAAAGTCCGGCGGGCCGCGCCGCTGCAGGTCGGCCGCGCCCGGACTGACCGTGCGTCTCCACAGGGAAGGAGAGCTGCTTCGAGAGGATCGTTTCTCGCTTCGGGAAGAAGGTGACGTACGTGGTGATCGGCGATGGGCGGGATGAGGAGTTTGCAGCAAAGCAGGTAGGATGGGAGGTTCTGGTGACGTTCTGGACCGCCGGAAGGTCCACGGCCTGGAGAGACGCAGAGTCTAACCACAAATCAATAAATAAATGGAACAAAGAGAGGAATCACTGTAGACATTTAAAAACTGCTCAATCAGCCAACTTTGGAGAACTAGGAGGGAATTAATTTTCAGGGATCTAGAGCAGAGCAATAAACAAACTAAAACAGGAAAAAACATGGAGGATTAAGATAATCTGAATTATAGGTCTGAATCATGAACATGTTTAATATGGAGGGAAAATGGACGAAGCGTCGTGCTGCAGGCCGTTTATGATCCAAAATAATCAAAGATCAGGAAGGAACTGAATGACATCATCTTCAGCCAAAACACGAGCAGATTAAACGAAAATCAAATAAACATTTTGCCAAATAAAACAATCAAACCTCCATCAGAGCCAGCGGTGATTCAAACGCGACTATGCAGAGAGAGGGCCGCCGCAGACGGGCTGCCGTTAGCCCTGGCCGCCGCAGACGGGCTGCCGTTAGCCCTGGCCGCCGCAGACGGGCTGCCGTTAGCCCTGGCCGCCGCAGACGGGCTGCCGTTAGCCCTGGCCGCCGGTGTCTGTGGTTAGCCGTTTTTTTCTTTTTGTTTTTTGACTTTTTACGGCATTGGTGTCTCGTTTTCGGACAGTAGGCTGATGTGAGGGGGAGAGACATGCAGCCACAGGTCGGATTCAAACCTGGGTCGGCCGCATCGAGGACTAAGACCTGGTTTATGCTCAGAAACCAGGTCGTCTGCGTGTGCGTCGCAGTTAACGCAGATATGCCCCGCCCCCTTCCGCAGACACTCTGCTGCTCCTCTCTAAAATTGTAGGTGAGCGCAGACAGGAGGCCTCTGATTGGTCAGATCTCCATCCGCTCTACTCTATGCGTATTTCCTGTTTGGTTACCGGCTGGTTTTGTTTGTCTGGCCGCCATATTGGAAAACGACTGGTGAAGATGGAGCAGCTAGCAGAGCGAGGTGAGAACGCTGGGACCCTTATTCCTCCTGGATTCCCGCTCTTTTTGGCCCTCATGTCCCTCCGTTGTCGCGCAAACTTGCCTCCACTTCCTCACCGCCTCGGCCGTATCTAGACCCACAGCTAGTTCCTGATTGGCGTCGTGGCGTGGAATAACAGCGCAGACCACGCTTCAATATTCAATACCAAATATCTGGTCATACCTGCGACACGCTGCTGCGGGAGGATAATCAGGCCTCCAGGCCTCCGTACATGGTTTCTGCACGCTAACCGCGGCGCCACAGCTGCACGCCACTAGCCGTTGTGTTTTGCTCTGAGCTGCAGTCAGAACCAGTGATTTGATGACTGCTGTAGATGAAGGTTATTGACCAGGCTGCTCCTCTTCCTCCTCTGCAGCACAACATGCCCTTCTGGAGGATCTCCACCCACGGCGACCTCGTCTCCCTCCACCAGGCGCTGGAACTGGACTTCTTGTAACCGACCCACGTTGGAAGCGGTGCACCAGAAGGGTGGTGCACCTGGGTCTGGGTCGACCCCGCCCTATACGGCAGCTAAACTGTGACTGGGACCCGGTTCACTGCTCCTGCCGGGCTTCATGTCTCTATCTGGACTGGAGCGCTGGTAGAACCTCCCTGTTGGTTCTGTTTGTTTTATTCGGACCCAGAAATCCTCCTGAGACTCTTCTGGACGGTTCTGTTGACTTTGGGTTGAAACCTGTTGATCCAGACTGGATCGCCGCCGCGCTCTGTGTGCGCAGGTCGGTCCGGTTCTGCTGCATGCTAACCTGGTTCTGTCTGGTCTCCAGCAGAACCGGTTCAAACAGACTCTCAGTGTTCAGGAAGACTTTCCACCCAAAGAACCAGAACCGGTCCTGCTGCATCCCAAAAACTCCTCATCAGGACTGGCGGAAGCTGTCACCATGGTAACCAGAACCAGTATCTGAGCGACTCTGGTTGTTTGGGAGGAAGTCCGGGTTCTGGTGTTGAAAGAGGAGCGTTTTTCAGACCCGATGGGGTCTGATGAACCGGAGGAGGTTCCTCTGCATGCGGTGGACCGCTGAACCATCTGACTCGGACCTGGACTGGGTCAGAACCAGTTCCTGTAGTTCGTGCCTTTAATCTCCGCCTGAAGCGTCTCTCATCCAAAGTGTTTGTTTGGTTCTGTTTCATGTTCTACCTGCACTGTGATCCACAGGTGTCCGGCCCGTCCGGGACCGACCCAGACGGCTCCTGTTTGATCGGTTCTGTTGGGTCCGTCTCGGTGGTTTGTTTGTTTTTTTTAGTTGCCCTGACAATCAGAGGTCCGATCAGGCTGCAGGAAAACGGTTCTGGAGAACAGAGGCAGACGGACCTGACCAGAACCAGTGGGATGATGTCTGACGTTCTGACCCGTCCTGCTGGTTCTGGAGTCGCTCCATCGGTCTGAATGAAGCAGCCTGCTTCCTCCAGCCGATGAGCTCGGCTGGTTTCTCTGTTCCTGCTCTGATCTACGGAACCAGAACCGGATCCGGATCCATCCCTAGAACCTGCACGGTCCTCCTGAGTGTGGGAAGCACTCGGGTCTGTAAATACAGTTTAAACATTTCAGCCTCATGTTTGTCTTTTCTGAAATGAAGTCACTGATGTCACTCAGTCCACAAACGGATTCATTTCATAAAGTTAGAACTCGCTTCTTTTCGGCCATTTTGAATAATAAACTTTGGTTTATGTGCGAAGATGAAGGTCTGATTCAGAGATGATTGGGATTAAAATTCATGAAGTGTCTGATTCTGCTGGATCTACGTTCAACTGAACGGCAGGGAGGAGATTAATACGGAGCTCAGCTGAAGCCAGAACGTTTCTAAAAACGTTGAAATAAATGAAACTTTAAAAAAAAGAAAAAAATTGTAAAAGATTTTAGACTTTTTCTAGTTTCAGATTTTCTCCTCTCAGCCTGCTGTCGTCTCTGTGGGGGCGGAGCTTGGACGGCATCGGGTCCGAGTTTTCCCAGCTGCTGCATACAGGAACCGGAGGAACTGGAAATTACTTTATGTTTGTAAAATTCGCTTTTCTTCATCATCAGTCCAGCAGTTCGTCCACTTCGGCTTAGATCCATAAAGTGAACGAATCCCATCGACTGAATATCAGCAGGAAGAATCAATGGATGATTATTTATACATAAAACTAACATGTTTGCAGAGATTTAATAAATTTAGCGTTAATCAGTAAAATGAATAAAAATAATTTTCATTGTGATCACTGAGTCTGGGAGCGGCCATTTTTGCCCAAATATAATAGCCCCTCCCTCCTGCCATCTTCCAGCAGTGACATCACTAACCAGTAGGTGGCAGTAGTGTTCTTTGACAAACATGGATGCCTCTAGTAAAGCACATTCACATGAAAATGACTCTGAATTAAAAACACTGATCATTTATTGAACAGGATGGAATCATTTCAGATTTAAAGAACTTTCAGAAGTTTGGATTCTGAATATGAGCGACTTTTCCTTTAAAGAGGTTTCTAGTTCCCACGGTTCCTGAATGCAGCAGCTGGAAACATATTTTTTCTGTCATCTTCAGTGTCCAACTTTGTTAATCTCTGATCTAATTTTTTTTCCATGTCTGTATTAATTGTTCAGAACAAACTTTATGGCTTCAATTTAGCTCCATAGATTTGAAGTAGAGTTCTGCAGAACTTCAAGGCTTCAGCCAATCAAAGCTGTTTTCACTCCCAGAAACTCAGCAGAAGATCTGAGGCGCCTTCGCATCAATGAATCCTCTGCTGTCCTGGAAGCAGCCATGGTTGTCATGGTAACCCTCCACACGTTTATTGTTTATAGCAGAAACCTACAGGAGGTTCCTGCAAACCTATTGAACCAAATGAAACCCTGAAGGAAAGAAGTTTTAGAAATGAAATGAGTGACAATCAAACGGACCGACCTCTGGGTTCTGCCGGGTTCTGCTAACCGTCTCATTATGAGATTTGGACTCTGGACACATCTGGAAGCTGCAGGATGACGAGCGGAGCTGGAATCCTGTGCATCCAGCAGACAGGAGCTACAAACAGCAGCTGGATCCATTGTGTGAATCGTGCTGCAACATTTCTAAATGGAAGAACTTCTGAACGTCCGTAAAGCTCATTTATATTTATAAACCATGACCAGTAATAATTTACTACCTTTGATTTCAATCAGAAACCTGCTTTGCTACTTATCAACACTAGGCCAATTATTACGATAATAAAATCAAACATTTCTGGAAATAATCAGTTTTCCTCTTTTTTTTCTGACTTTAAACACACACTTTATGAGACAAGACCACTAGGGGCGCTAGACCTGTAACTGCATTTTGCTTCTACTTAAAATGGAAAATAATAAAGATTTATGACTGTATACTAGGAGCAAAGTGTTACTCTGCAGTCTAATAAAGTTGAGAAAAGAGAATCGGTTTTACATCCTTCTTTCATTCTGTGCTGACGAACCAACTCCTTTCCAAGATCCACTCCATGTTTTTCTTTGATCTCTTTCCCGTTTTTTTAGCCTCGGAAGATTTAAACTTTTCCTTGCCTCAGCCGTGACCAGCAGTAGAGCTAAAGCCTTAGCTCCATGACGATATAACAGCCTGTGTCTGTGAAGCCATATGTTCCTCCAGGTCACATGACCTGGCCAACGACGGTGGGTCTTCTCAACTTACATGGTCGGTATTTGAAGGGGGGGGCTGCTAGTAGCATTGATAGTCGCCCCATTTCCACTACCCTTTTGAAACCGTGCCGAGATCGGTCCGAGCACGCTGACCCAGATAACCGAACCGCGCTAACATGGTGCTAGTTCATCAGTAGGACTCGGCGCGGTTTAGTTCTGGTTCGGTTCTCAGATAACAAAGAGGTCATGAGCAGAACGCGTCACCTCCTCACAGTCAGCGTAATCATGTAATTTGAGACGTTCATAAAAATCCTAGCTTCCCCGCCGCGCCGCACGATTTCCAGCGATGATTCTGCTTAGCAGTGCGATGAACCTCAACGTCTGTCGTTGTTTCCTGCGTCTGGAAGCCCTGATCGGACCATCGTTTGTCGTATCCACTTCCCTAAAACCGACTGTCAAGTAAATTCACCAAAGGCTGCCTTCTTGGCCTGACACTCCGCAAACTTCCTGTTACGGGCACCGCCATGTTGGTTTGCTCGTTTCCCTCTAGAGAGCAGTAGTACCCTAGATTGTCACCAGGAGGCGAGGAACCGTGCTAGCGTGGCGTGGAAATGGTCATAAGGAACCGAGGTCGCCGTGATTAACTGATCCGAACTCAGCACGGATCGGATTCGGAGGGGAGTGGAAATGGGGCTACTATCAATGCTACTAGCAGAACTCCCCCCTTCAAATGCCGACTATGGAAGTTAAGAGAAGACGCACCTTCATTGGCCGGGTCATGTGACCTGGAAGTATGGTTTTACGGACACAGTGTGAAGTGCTGTATAATAGCCTAAGTTACCATTTAAAATAACTCATGCATCAAAGTGTTTAGGTCACAAAGTCGGCGCTGCGCCTTTAACTGGAGCCACGGTGACATGAAGAAGGTAATGTATCTTTAGGAATGTCCTGAATTGGCAATAAAAACTGGTTTCTGGTCCCATGGCCCTCATGAAGACAAACCTCTGGACAACAGACCGGACTGGAGACGCCGTCTGCAGGAAGCTTGGCTTCTTCAGATGCTGCAGATCAGATCATCTGCAGAACCTGATCTCTGTAGCTGGTTAAGGTCGGCTCTGTTCCAGGAAGTCCTCTGGAGACGAAGAAGGTCTAGAGACCAGCTCTTCATTATTCTTTTTATAAGAAGTTTAAACAGCAGCTGAGCATCTTTGATCAGAAGCTTCTCTGCAGTCGCTGTAGAACAGGCTGCTACAGGAAAAAACCCTTAAAGAGGCACCAGATTTAAATTCTCCTCCGAGATCAAAGTATGTTTCCAGTTTTCCATCAGCAAAGGTTGTAAAATATAAAACCATGAATGAAGGGTTGGAGGTGGCCAAATAGAACAAATAACCTTCATCCCTAAGTTGGGGAAATGTTAAATTTAGGTCTAGTTCATGATGAAGGAGCGATGGAGGAGTTTCATTTAAGGCTTTAAAAACAAGCTGCTCCTTTAGACTCATGACTCATCAGGACAGGTTCTGCTCCTGTTCTCTGAAAACCTGTTTTTCGGCTCTTCACTGTCGTTTCTGCTGTGGCAGCGGAGACGTTTTCTCCAAGAAGAGACCAGAATCAGAGCTTTTACTCGTGAAAAGGTGAGACTTTAAGCTCAGGAAGGAGGTCAGCCTGCTGGGAGTAAATCCCACAGCTGGAGAAAGGTGGGTGGAGTTTCAGCTCTTCAGAAGCTTCAGCTTCTGCCTTCAGGTGTTCCTGGTTTATCTGCCGTGGAAATGGAGGAGTCCGGCTCTGCTGGTGAAGGAGGGGTTAAGAATGATTCTAAGGTCCTGCCTAAGAAAATCTGGACTTTTTTCACCACTTTTCTGAGTCTGAACTTGTTTGTCCTGGACATTGGTCTGGACATCTGGGCTGCAGTGAAGTTATTCGAGGAGGGGTCCTACTGGAGCCTCAGTGTTCTGCTGGTGCTGCTCATCGGCTCGGCGGTGCTCACACACATCTACAGCTGGCTCTGGTACACCTATGATGAGTTTGAAATTTTAACCTACCTGGAAGAAACCCTGCGTTCCTACCTCAGAGGTTTCCACTTCTTCCTGTTTGGAATCCATGTCAGGTACGTCCAGGGCCGTACCAAGGGCCCACAAAATTCTGAGGTCAAGAGTCAAAACTTCTAGGCGGGTTCAGTTCCACCCGAAAGTTTTTTTAATTTATTTTATTATTTAAATCTGGCCATTTGGAGTAAATACATAACTGTGACTTTTAAGGCTGTGTATTTCTCCTTGTGACGTTATAAACCTTATTTTAATGTCAACTTTCTGCTGCAGCTTCTTTCTAAAACTGCTAAGAAATGTTTCACTAAAGACATTCCAGCATAACTAAATGAGTTGCTTCATATTTACTTTTAAAATAGAGAATGTTGTGAATAACTTGTTCTATTCAATGCCCGGCCAGCCGGGACTTCATTTTATGTTCTGATACTTTAAGATGTTTATTGACTGAGGGTATAGGTGGCAAATATCTTATTTAATCAGGTATTATTTGGGCTATTATATATTTTCTAGAAACACACGCCTTACTAGCTGTGTGTTGGAACAATAACTAAAAGTGTGAATCAAGCTCAGATCATGGTCAGATAATTCTGCACAGATATGGAATAAATTTACAACAACTTCTGTTCAAAACACAGAGTTTAACAAAAATCTGTCAGCTCCAAGTCAAACATATTTCAGTAAAAAAAACTAAACTAAAACTAAAGTGAAACTCAACTAAACTATGTACAAAGAGGAAGGGAAACATGGTTGAAACCATATTACAGTTTAAGGAGAATTTTTGTGTTTGAAACCAAAGCTTATCTGGAAGAATTTGGGATCTGATCAAATTAGATATAAAACATGTTATGAAATAATCCCTGAGAAACAGTCTAGATGTTATTTGAACTATTTATTTTATCCCAAACACTCCCTAATAGCATAAACGTTAGCTCCGGCTGCTGCAGACAGGGCTAATGTTAGCCTTGGCTGCAATAAGCTTCGGAGCTCCGCTGGTTGCCACGGTCCTCTCAACATCAGAACTTTTTTTTTTATTTCACACTAAATCAGTGAATATATAATAATAATAATAATAATATAATATAGTGAAGCTTAAAGTATAAAGTTTTCGTCTCAGATGATCTTTAAACGTACTTTTGTAGAACAATGGCAATAGAAAAGTGCAATTTTAACTTAATACGCTAACCTGGAAGCTGCTGCCGCAGTGCATGCTGGGACAGCTGTAAGTCTGTAGAACGACCAAGTCTGCTCTGATGCATGCTGGGTAAAGAGGGAGGGGGTGAGAACAACATCTGGGGACTTTGCCCGTTCTTTGTCTTCATATTCTTATGAATTGTAAGAGCACTAGTGCTGAGGATGAACATGTTTCACCAGATCATCCAGTCAGATTGGTTCAAAGTTTTCTTTGGAAAACCAGCTGATTGCATCGACTCAATAAAATGAAAAGCGCTAAGTTGGTGTAACCTTTCTGTTCCAGGCATGCAGCCATTGTGACGGCTTCAGTGCAGAACTTCTACCATAAATCCAGTGGGTTGGAAAGCGTCATCAGATACCGGAAACAGGACCTGCGGATTCTGCGGATCTTTGAGTCCTACTCAGAAAGCGCTCCTCAGGTCGTCCTCATGCTCACCTTGGCTCTGAGGCAGGAACGCTGGATCCCAAAGCTCCTCACAGGTGCAGACTCTCCTCATTAACCCATTAACAGAAGCCTCCTGGAAGTCAGTTTCTGATGGGGAGATTGACTCCAGCTAATGATGATGTGTGAATGTTCTAATGACTTCTGTCTTTGTCCTCAGCGCTGAAGACGCTCGTCTCATTGGCGAGCATCGCTTTGTCTGAGCTCAGATACTACCACTCACTGACGTCCTACATCCCCAAGGACACCGAGGACACGTGCTGCTTTTGTTTTGTGAAAGGGTTCCAGTATTTCTTCTACTTCATGTGGAAGTTGCTCCTTGTTTCCTGCCGCCTTGTCGCCCTCGCCCTCTTTGCCTCAGTGGAGCCCTGCTTCATCTTCACCCACTTCCTCTGCTTCTGGCTGGTCCTCTTCTACTTTGCTTCCTACTCAGAGACCCATTTCATGAAGTCCCCGAGAGGAAAGTGGCTTTTCCGAAGCACCTTGGGCCTCATCTGGTACTTCAGCTGGTTCAGTGGTGTGGTGAAGGGGAAGACGACCAAACGGATGCTGTTCTACCACTTCTTCATGCTACTGGACGTCTGTGCCCTCTGTGGAATGTGGTACTGGAGAATGAGCTTAGATCCTCCCAGCATTGAGATCTCCTGTGTGAAGGTTGCCGTCACAGCTGCAGTTATTCCAGCTTGTTATGTCTGTGGGTTGTTGTTGAAAGCTTATTATTTTCTTGCCCTTCATCCAAAATGTGATCTGAACTCAGAGTCCGATGAGGTTGAAGGCAATACGACAGGAACGCAGACTGGGAACAAGGGGAAATCAAACTTTAAGGAAAAGCAAAAGTATCTTAGGTATCTGCTCACAGGTGATGAGAAGTATGCAGACTGTCTTAAACTGGATGACGGGGAATCATCGCAAAAACAAGTCGAGAACTTGAGAATGAAGGAGCTGGCCCAAAGCTTTTACACATAACTTACGGCAGAGACTGCTGACGGTAGCAATCGGCCTCCTGGTGCTGCGTTCAATGGCTGTTTCTTTGATGCTCCAAAGACAATGAACCGGATTAAACAGGCTTCCATCCAGCATCTGTTCATCCGACAGACGGCAGGCTAAGAGAAATCAAAAGTTTGAGCGATGATCCGATTAGCAGAGTTCATTCAGGTCGTGTTTTTATGCCACGGATGCTTTCACACACTTTGAAAATAGATAATGATAAAAATATATATATCTATGTTAGACAATCTACATCCATCCATCCATTATCTGACACGCTTGTCCCGAGCGGGGGGGCGAGGGGTGCTGGTGCCTATCTCCAGCAGTCAATGGGACGAGAGGCGGGTCCATCCTGGACAGGTCTCCAGTCCATCGCAGGGAAACACAGAAACATTCACACCTAAGGACAATGTAGAGAAGCCAATCAACCTAACAGTCGTGTTTTTGGGCTGTGGGAGGAAGCCGGAGTACCCGGAGAGAACCCACGGATGCTCCATGCAGAAAGACCCCGGGCCGAGAACCGAACCCAGAACCTTCTTGCTGCAAGGCAGCAGTGCTACCCAATGCATCGCTGAGCAGCCCAGACCGTCTACAATCTGCTTTTAGCGGAACATCGTCCATCAGAGGACGGTCATTCTCTGTTACTACGGTGAAGGTGTGTTTCTGCTTCTTCTTGTCATTCTGATAACATTCCAGCTGCACCAGATATGAATGAATTTGATCCAAGATGTAAAAGAAATAGAAGCTAGATATTAGATAAATCCCTGAGGCTGTGGCTGCCATAGAGCTGTGACCTAGAGAAGGTCATCATCGAACATGGTCTATTTTACTCTCAGTGACGAGTTTCGTCTGTAATCAGCCTGTCTGCGTTTGTCCTGCTGAGCTTTAAGAAGCTGTTAAAATGTTTCGTTCCTTTTTCCACGACGCTAACAGGGGCGCAGCGCTGGAGTCTGAGTCCAGGTGTAGGTGTAGGTGGAGGAACCGGGGAACACGTCCCCACATGTCCCTCCTTTCCCGCCAAGAAAGACGAGGGAAAAAAATGATTAACATTTTTACGTCACATGCTTTTAGTTTGAAAGGACAGTGCAGTCTGACGTCACTGGTCCCGCCCCCTCCCTCAGCTGCTCTGAGTGTTTGGGAAGATGATAGACAGGGAGGCCGACCTCTCAGCTCTCAGCAAACGGACCGAGGTGTCAAATGAAATCTTGGCTATTTATACTTTACTGAAGCAATTATTCTTTAGACAACTTTTTATTTCAACTCCTTACATTTTAAAATTACACAAAATTAGTTTTGTTTCATTTAAGCTGTTGGTATTTTAAAAAGATAAAAAACAACAAAATAATTAGTTTCATCCAAGTTTTTTTAGTCCATTACATTAGAAATGCTTTGGAAAAATATCCTTAAATTAGATTTTGGATATACTACACCCCCCCAAAAAAAACCCAAAAAGAACAAAAACAAGCTCAACTTCATTTTGGGAAAATATAAACTTGATGTTGTGAATAAATGCATTCAGCATTCATGTACACTATGGGTAGTTATTTCAGACTTTATTTAAATTTCATGCGATGGAAACAGAAAATAAAATCTTGTTTTTAACCTTAATAAACTCAGACCTGTTTGCTGTTTCCAGTCACTGAATAAACAGGAAGAACTCTGCTTTTAACCTGGAACCTTCTGCACCATTGATGTCAGTAATGTAGTCATGGAGATATGTGCTTGTTTTTCTTGAGATGCTCAATGTGTTTTTTTGACATACTGCTCTGATTTTATTTTTTTATGTTTTTTTTTTTATTTTTTAATTCTTTATTTTTTATTTTGCAAAATGTAATCTGTTGTAAATATGTATGAACGTCCTGTGGTTTGGCTGCTACCTTGGCCAGGTCTCTCTTGAAAAAGAGATTCTGAATCTCAATGAGACTTCCTGGTTAAATAAAGGTTAAATAAATAAAAAAAAGGCAAACATGTTCGTTAAGAACAACTTTATATCCTGATGCACGACGTAGCGCTGAGGTGACGAGTCGGCTGCCGAGGCTGGGGACGGTGTGATTGCATCACTGTTGGCACCCGCCACGTGATACGGCGAGTATAAAGCGGCTGCTTCTGCTGCCCAAAGCGCGTGCGGTGTGAACATAGCATCAGGACGCCATGCAGAAGCATATTGGTTTATTTGTTAGCTGGATCATTACCAGATGTTTATGAATTTTTTTTTGTGATTTTTCTAGCTGCACTTTTTTATTGATAATCTTCATTATTTTAATTTGTCTTTCCTTCTGTCTGAGTATAGCAGTTATTAAGAGGAGTTTCCATAGATTAGTTTGATTAGATTGAGTTTTGAACTGTAATATCTTTGACTTTGAGATGAATGGTTTTTGTTAATAAATTCTAATATTTTGAAAGGAATTTGTTGTGAATTTATGTGTGCAAAGTTTTTTTCCCCATAATTTGAGGTGGATTAACATTTCATTTACTGCTCTAACAAACAGCCAGCCGGACGTTTGTTCAAAGAACGATGTGAGAATAATTGAATTGAATGCATAACAAGATGAAAGAGCAATGGTAAATGTCCTGTACTTATATAGCGCCTTTATTCAAGTCAGGAGACTTGACCAAAGCGCTTTACTCTACATTCATTCACCCATTCACGCACACACTGATGGTGGTGAGCTACATTGTAGCCACAGCTGCCCTGGGGCTCACTGACAGAAGCGGGGCTGCCGTACACTGGCGCCACCCTCTGACCGCCATCAGTAGACAATGCAGGTGAAGCGTCTTGCCCAAGGACACAACGACACTGAAAGGCTTGAACAGTCAATCCTTTGATTTCAGGGCAAACTCCTACATCCAACGCCACTGTTGCACATAAAAGAAGAAACAGAATTGAAGCTATAAGTTTAACGCATCATAAAGTCTGCGGTCGGATGCTGCACCAGGTGCTGTTCCTCATATGTTCTAGAATTGATTAAATAAATCTACTTCTCAGTGATAATAAAATAAAAAAATATACAAATACAGAAGCTTCTATAGAGAAAGTTCATTAATTTAAGTAACTGAAAACTATGTTTAATACCTGCCTTAATGTTTTAATATGACAAATGGCATGCATGTTTTAATTGGGTTAAATTCTGATTAATCCCAATTGCAACTGCTGATGATTTCATTAAAAACATTAAAAAAAAAAAAGCAGCTTCAGATAATCCAGCTAGAAAGCAGCAACCAGGCTCTAGATCTGGACTCAGACCTGAACCTTCAGAGGCTCATAGAGGCAGGAACAGAACGGACCTTCTACCACCTGAAGAACATCTGCAGGATTAAAGGATTGAGGCTGGAAAACTGATTCCTGCTTCGTTTGTCTTCAGTAGAATTTATCCCTGCAGCAGCGTCTTCACTAGAACTATAGAAAGTAGATCAGACGGCTGATCCAGATGCTGCTGCCTGCGTCCTCACTAGAACTATAGAAAGTAGATCAGACAGCTGATCCAGATGCTGCTGCCTGCGTCTTCACTAGAACTATAGAAAGTAGATCAGACGGCTGATCCAGATGCTGCTGCCTGCGTCCTCACTAGAACTATAGAAAGTAGATCAGACAGCTGATCCAGACGCTGCTGCCTGCGTCCTCACTAGAACTATAGAAAGTAGATCAGACGGCTGATCCAGATGCTGCTGCCTGCGTCCTCACTAGAACTATAGAAAGTAGATCAGACAGCTGATCCAGATGCTGCTGCCTGCGTCTTCACTAGAACTATAGAAAGTAGATCAGACGGCTGATCCAGATGCTGCTGCCTGCGTCCTCACTAGAACTATAGAAAGTAGATCAGACAGCTGATCCAGATGCTGCTGCCTGCGTCCTCACTAGAACTATAGAAAGTAGATCAGACGGCTGATCCAGATGCTGCTGCCCGTCCTAACTAGAACTATAGAAAGTAGATCAGACAGCTGATCAGAGCTGCTGCCTGCGCCTCACTAGAACTATAGAAAGTAGATCAGACAGCTGATCCAGATGCTGCTGCTGGTC